TCATTTACAACTTTCTAATACTTCGGGATTTATTATTTCGAATTTCATCATCATCATGAAATTACACTGGTCATTTATTGAAATGTACCACATTTTGTAACTAGTTAATAATAAGAGATTGTATTAACTAAAAACACAACAAAACAAATTAAAAGTGATAACTAACAAATAAAATAAATGCTTTTACTTTAAACAAGAATAACAGAGACTGTCACTCCTAAGGTTAAAATAGATAGAGAGAGAATTTAAAGCTGAAAATCTAGGGGTCCATGGTTCAATCCTGGGTTTTGGTATGCAAATGGTATTTTAATATTTAGTTCATTAATTCTTTGGATTTTTTGATTCTTGTTATCAAATGAAAATAGCAAAGTTAAAGAGTATCAGTTTGAAGATGTAAGGGTTCAATCCTGGCTTTCAGCATTTCATATTTTAGGTGAATGACATTTAAATGGAGAATCAAGTTTGAAATTTTTTTCTCAGATAGCAATTACTAGTATCATTATCATTTATTGCAAAGTAATTAGCTTATGTTTGTTAAATTTGACTTAGAGAACAAAGATATGTTTATATAACAGACTGATGGATTTGTTTTTTCTGGCTTAACATTTTGTAGGTTATTTAAAGATAAAACATATTTAGTATATTGTAATATATTATTTTTTTATAATTGAATATTGCATAATGATTTTTCCAGATACAAGCCCTATTTAGCCCATAGCTGGGGAGATGGGATGGATTCATTCCTTTCACAAGGGTATTTGTACATATGTAACAAACCCAACTCTGATTTTTCATTCCATGTTACTATCTATTACATCACCCACAGGTCCTTTATATAACAGAGGAGAAACAAAATGTTTGTTTCAGTTTGTGTTAAGTTTTAATTATTTCTATGACTTTCAGGCAATTTTTATGTGGGAAGGATTAAATATAAATTCATATTAAACCAAAATTTCATTCAGGGATATGCTGGCAAGGTAGGCAGTGTCTACCCTGAATAAAATAGATAAGTAGCTGCTTTCTGTGGTACAATACGTAACTAATTCAACAAAATTATGAAAGTTACTCTGATTATTATGCATAAAATGCAAAATATTTTATTTTTTCGTAGATTTACTACAAGCTGCCTACCTTGAGTAATTACTGACATCACATGCTATATATATATATATATATATATATATATATGGGGGAATAAAGACCAAAGGAAAACTTATCTCATTGCGTTGTGTCCTCTGATGGACTTTATCAAGGCAATTGTCTATCAGAGTATAAAACACATCATCTAAATTTTCCTTTTGTCTTTATTTATAGTCCTTTTACAGATATCTTTTTAGTTATATCAGAAATTACATATTAGTATGTCATTAAAAAATATAAATCAAAACTATTAAGATAGATGAATAATGAATAAAAATTAATAGTAAAAATAATCAATAAAAATTATAATTCATGAACTATTTTTTGAAGGACGCCAGAATTTGGAAGCTGCAAAACTGATTTCTTGGTTCATTAATCTTTTCGAACCAAATCCAACGTATGAAAGCCTATAAAAGCTACAGTGAAAGCTAAAAAAAGACATTTCAGCTGATCTGAAGGAGCAGAGAAAATGAAAATAATAAGACAAGAGTTGATTAAAAAAACAAAATACTTAGAAAAAGAAACGTTCTTACAGTTGGCTATAAGAAAGAAAGTTAAGAGAAAAAAAGTATTAGGCATTTTATCAGACACAGTACTGTAAAGTATTTAGATCTTTAAATTTATATAAAATTTTCCATTAAGAAATTGCTTTATCAAAACTACTGCCATGATTTAAAAAGTCTTTGTATCAAATCATAACTAAAATTGCATTTAATGAATTAAAAACAATCAAATTTATTTACACATAGGAAATACTTTACAGTATTTATAAGACAATGATAGGATTCGACAATAACAACAAAAACAAATGAAAAGATTCTTCCAAGATTGTATTGGGGAAAAAATACAATTCAAAGAGAATATTGAAAATTTTACAAAATTGTTTTTCAACACATTTTCATAAGCAACATTATCACAAGACAAAACTGTTTTTAATTTGAAAATATTTTTTAATCACCATTGATAAGCATTTAAAATATTTTCTTGACTTAAAAAAATATCTAAAAAACAAATATATTAAGATAATTTTTTTTATTTTTATTTACGTCTTTTATAATTTGAATATTTTTTTTGATTAATATCCTTTGTGCTGTAGAGAAAGTTATGCATTTTTAACCAATCTTTAATCAAAATAGTATCTTCTTGCAAGCCATTCCTAGTAAGTTCGATTCTATCTGGATGTACCTCTATTGTGTCTGATAAGTTTAAGCTTAGTAAATATCTATGGGAATATATAAGTATATGGCCATGGTATGTGGCCAGATAGATATTTCAATAAAACTTTGCACTTAATGACAAACAGATTAATCCAAGAGGAGCAGAAATAAAAGTTATGAAAAATTTGCAAAATGTCAAACTGGTAAGAAAGGAAGTAAAAATATGACAGACTGGAAAAACAAGTTCTGTTTTATTTTTTTTTTAAATGATAAAATATTCACTGGTATTTTGGGTTAAACTTGAATCTTGGAAATTCCCAGTTTATTCTTTAAGAAATAATAGCAAAACAAATGAAACACTATCAGAAGCAGAAAATCATGTAGGTAACAATACAGCAAACAAATATAGAATCGAAATTTGTTCCACAAGATTCAAATATTTATTATGGAAATAAACTGACTCTTATCAATAAAATAAATTAATTTGAATTGTAACAATAGATGACAGGAAGCAATAAGTACAATTGTAGAAAATAAAATTTATGTAGATAGCTAAGAGATGAATTTCCTTTGCATTAATTTAGCAAAACAAAAAAAAAACTTAACAGAGGTCTTCTCAGAATTTCTATAATCTGCCTTTTCCCAACAAAGATTCATTTACTTGCTTTTATTTCAATACATACCACCAAAAATTCATCAACAATATTTAGTTTTATGTGTTATTAAATATCAACAGGCTATTATGTAGTAGGTTTTGTTTCTTTACTGCTTTTCACCAAATATAAGGCTCATTCAAGGTAGAGGATTACTGAATGAGGTTGTTGAATGTAGATAATGGTTGACCAAAGAGTTGAAGAGGTTAAGATTTAAGTGATCAGGGAACCATCCTCTCAGGAGTCTGTTCCATAAAGCAACAGTTCTTGAAAAGCAGCTGTCTGAATGGAATTGCTCCTTACCAATAGAATGCAAAGGGAATGAGAATATGACATGGCAAGTTATACTTTAATGACAGAAAGCTTCTTTTTTTTTTTGATTAGCAGAAAACTTAGACTGTTGTAATGCTTGATCTCTACTATCCATTGTATGGGAACTTGTAAATGTTTATTCATGTCTTTAATTATTTTGGCCTTTGATCAGACAGGTTTTTGCTTATTTTTCTTGCAATAACTACAATTCCTTTAATTTAAAATATGAACCTATTAATTGTTCTTTCAATGTTCATTTCTATTTGTCATCAAACTTCTATCTTTCATCATTTAGTTCTCTTTGTAAAATTTGAAACTGACTTCTAAATTGTTGCCCTTATGTTTAAAGTTGTTCCTTTGCTTCCGTGTGATTGGCCAGTAAATCTAGCAACAACTCTTTTCAAATTAAATACAGGAACTCTGGTAACCTTTTTAAGCTTTAAAGTATAAAAGGTCAATTTGTTGCTTCTAGGCATTTACTTCAATGTCCACACACACATTAAATATATATATATATATATATATATATATATACACACACAGAGGTAGTAATCTGTTGGTATAATTTAAGTTTCTTTTATATATATATATATATATATATATATATATATATATACACACACACACACAGGTAGTAATCTGTTGGTATAATTAAAAGCAAGTCTTATATATATATATATATATACACACACACACAGGTAGTAATCTGTTGGTATAATTAAAAAAGTCTTATATATATATATATATATATATATATATATATATATATATATATATTTTAATAGCAAATATCCTACTATCCTCTTGTATTACAAGGATAAGCTGAAGGATAACATCAACCATTGTAAGATTAATCTTAAAACCTTGGAAAACATAGGAGATCTCAAAGAATAGAGAACAATTTGTTTTATGAGCTTGAAGTCTTCTGAAGATATAAGGCATGAGTATCAGGACAAATTTCAGGTTAATGTTATGCAGTGTCACCATTTTAATCCTATGAGAACAGATGTCCTACATCTAATGTAAATTTGTTAAATGCAGTATGGTGGGGCTTGTCCACCATGAAAAGTAGCATATCCAAATCTTCACAGGGTCATTTTCTCAAGTGCAAGAATGTTTTTACTCATGATAGAATCTCATATTCAATTTAGCAGACATGTTAGAATCAGAAATATATGATCATTAATTTTTATATTCCAACATTGTGAAAACTACAACCTATTTGTAAAAATAAAATCTAAACAGAGATCTAAGGCTGTATCACACTTCATTTGGATTTTGTCAATTTAATTATATGTGGCTTGATTTTATCAGATTCTGAAAGGTCAGCATTTCGTCAAGTCAGAGCAATACTTTTTAAATGGGAGAAAATATTAAACAAAATCTATTAGGTTTTGTTAAGCAGAAATTGATCATCAATTGCTCAAAAGATGATCAATTGACTAAAGTTCAAGCATATTCTTACTCCTGCTGATATTTGCTAAAAAAAGCCACAATAATGGGGACTTGGTCAAAAGAAAACATTTTAATGGAATATTATTTAAAATCTTGAAATATTCCAAAGTATTTTCTTTTATTCATACATTTTGCCAGTGTGTGTGTGTGTGTGTGTGTGTGTGTGTATTATATATGCACACACTTTTTCAAAAGGCTTAATAAATTTTTATATCAATATAGTAACAAAATATTTGATAAATTTTTTGTAAAATTCCATGAAATTTTATAAAACTTATGTTACCTAAGTTGGCTTTTTCCGATGATGAGGAAAAACGAGGTGAAGCTTTCTTGATAATATTTTCATGAAGGTTTATAAACAACTCTTCTTTGTCAACACAACTGCAATAAAAAGAAAAAAAAGAGATTATTCTTAATAACAACAATTACTAGATTTATTATTATAATTTTCATTTTGAAATTACTTTTTTTAATTGAGGAATTGTTTTCAGTTTGAGCCTGTAAGTACCAAGATGGCCACTAAAATGGGAGGGGAAAAAATGATGTTACTTTTGCCACACACTGTGTGTGTGTGTGTGTGTGTGTGTGTGTGTGAGAGAGAGAGAGAGAGAGAGAACACCACAATGAAAGTATTTTAGGAAATTTCTTTAAAAAATTTAAAAATAATTGCATGTGAAATAAAATCTATTCCAATCAAAGTGAAAATACCTTGTAACTTTAAGCGAGATTTCTTTCTCTTCATGTATAAAACTGCTTTGATTAATATCCCTGAACGAACAAGCTGCAAAAAAGAAAAAAAAAAAGCAATTAGGAAATCAACATGTAAATTTAATTTCAAATATTGTTTTGCTGATGAAAAAAAAGAAAAAGTAAAACCACCTAATGGTTTTCATTTACCTAATATAATTAGGTAACATTATATAAAACCACCTAATGATCTTCATCATGCCAAAGAATGAAACTGAAATAGTTCATATAATTGGGATGTGTTTTCTGTCGGAATTTCTGGGATGTGGATATACAGGGTGCAATGGATAAATTGTCATCTAAATTATGTAAAAATGAAAATAACACCACTTATTTTAACAGATATATTTTACCAAAATTACACAAAAATATCTTGAAATACTAAAGAGTAAATTTATTCAATAAAAATCGCCATTGGCTTCAACCACAGCCTCCAAAAGACTTTGGAATCTCCTGCAACTCTTCTGGATGGTCTCCTTGTTTAAGTTGGTGAATGCTGCCATAATCCTTGCCTTCAGTTCATCTTTGGTGTTACAAGGAGTTTTGTTGGTCTCTCGCTCAACTGCACCCCACACATAATAATCAAGGGGGTTGCAGTCTGGGGAGTTAGGTGGCCAGATGTAAAGGGTGATGTGGTTGCAGAAATTGTCTGACAGCCATGACTGGGTTTTCCTGCTTGTGTGGCATGGTGCAGAGTCCTGTTGCCAGACATAGGGTCTTCCAGCAGCCACCCTCTTGACCCAGGGCAGCACTACCTCCTCAAGGCACTTGATGTAGGCCTCTGTGTTGAGCCTGAAGTCCTGTGGGAAGATGAATGGTGGCATAATATTACCATCACTAGTGATCACTTCAAACACCTTCATAATCACCATTAGACTCATCCAACTCTTTCTGAATCCTCTGCACTGTCCTCAGATTGACACCCAAACACTCTGAAATGTTTGCTTCCGGTGCAAATGCTAAGCAGTACAGCATATCATTTTCAAATTTTTGGCAGAATGAATTGCATCATGGTGCTCTTTTTCTCACAGATGGTGCCCAACTGACCCTACTATACTGTGCAGTTGACAAAATAAAATAAAAAAACAACATGCATGCTCGAAATTAAAAATATAAAATTGCGACAATTTACCCATCGCATCCTGTAGGAAAACCCAGTGAGGATTAAATACACAACACAGTCAAAATAGTTTACTTGACTAGCTTGTAACCATTACCCTACAATGAGACATCGACACAGAACTATTTGCTGATAATGCTACAGGTGCCCTTACTAAGTAAATATAAGAATTAACTCACCTGCAACACCATAGGGCCGTTTAAACTTTTGGTTCATTGCTTTCTTAGAGGTTTCATTTATCAACATTTTTCCTGAAATGATCAAAACATGTGACAATGAGAAGATATGGCCAATATATATAGCCAGTAAAAAGTTAAATCAAAGTTTAGATTTTAAAAAAAAGTAAAATTAAAACGTTTTTGACTTTTTATACAATTTTTTACTTAATTTTTCTGGTGAATCATTGAATTGGATTTTGTAAAAAGGATGAATACAATTTCTGAAAAAATCAAAGTGTGCTTCACTCACTCACAGCCACCTTGTCAATGTTTATTACAGCCACTGAAAAAAAATCAGCAATTTTTAAAATTGTCTACTTGGCTTACTATGCTTTACAATTGGCCAGAAGTGAAATAGATTGGTATGTTCTTTAAAGCAATCTATACAACTAGGCAACATTTGCATCTCTGAGATTGGCTAGGAGTGAAACGGATTTCATATTTGCTGACTTTGTCCAGTATAGTGGCTTTATTATTTTGTTTTTTAAAGAGAGATATGGCAAAGTGGTCTGGTTCGTCTGGTACTTCATCTGGAGTGGGGGGGAATCTTTTCTGGGGACTCACTTTTTGAGGAGTCATCATTTGACTCTGGCTCAATCAAATCCCAAGTGGTCTCCATCAAAAGAACTATTGGATGCACTGAATCCAAACACACTTGCATTATCAGACGATGTGTTCAATGTCGCTCTCTGATGTAATGTAACCCATAATGGCGCAAAAATCTTTCAGGTAGCATAATATTTCATCGAGCAAAATTTTGTGTGAACTGCTGATACCAGTGGTGTTCCCTACCTAATATCTCAAGGTACATCAGGTGTACAGGTTTTTTAGCCACATATGGTCTCCCACTTTGTAGATCATGTGTTCTTTTCCCATGGTTTGGTAGAAGTGTTGCATCAATTCCTTTTACCCTGATTGGTAATGATGGAGCGTGTTAATTTTTTATAACAAGTGAGGTGTTGCATTTTGGTGTGATATTATACCAGTAGAATGCCTCCATGATCTCATCCAGTGGAGAGGCAGTTTTTGTTTTTAACAAAGACAGCATATATCATGAGAATATAACTTTTGCCCGATAGAGGTATTTTAAGCCATTTTTTGATGTACAGGTTTTGATAAATTCATCTAATAATCATCATTTTCTGAAATTTTTCCTATAAGATTTCTCCCATTTCAACTTCTGGGTCTTACTGGTTTCTGGCTGATTACAATTCAAAAGGTGCTAAACAAAAATTCCAAAAAGATCAGAGAATAAAATCAACAAAATAATGATTGTTAAAAACATTCACTAAATGTTGAACAAATTTCAGAATCTGACCAAAACAGCAATGAAGATAGTTGTTAATAAAATATTTGAAACTCACTAATAATAAACTTATGGCACCAATTTATCAGAAATATTTTAAAATAGAGTAAAATAAGAATATTTTACTCAGAAATATTCTAGAAATAAAGTTGAAGTTGAGATTAAAAAAAGACTTACCTATTCTGTATATCTGAATGACAAGCCATAAATCTTTCTCCATGTCATTTGAACTGAGGTCCTGCATTTAAAATACAATTTATACATTCCAGAAATTCATTATTTAAAATCCCATATTTCTATCTTTTTGTTAGAACTCTTAGAAAGCAAAATGATCACATGACAATGTTCTTAAATCTTCTCTAATTTGAGTTTCAAAAGTTTGCACCTTTTAGTACAGTCTTTTCTTCCCAATGTCCAAAATATTAATGTAGTCAAAGGTCTTAAAAAAGACATGCTTATGATATAGTAGGAATAAATTAAGCAAACCTTTTTAGCAGATAAATCACAGAAAAATGTTGTCTCAAAGTAATCAAAGTAAGAAAGAAAACCATTTGTCACGATGCACATATCAAAGCATTCACAAGCTGAAGGTCAGAATTTCAGCTTATATGTAAATCCAGGATACACATCTATAAGGTAGCAGTATTAGGTTTAAGCACATGTGCTAAAACAAAGTTACAAATTCTTTAAATAAACAATCTACAGGAACCATATCACTTATAAAAGAAGGAAAGTTTGTGTTTTTCATATTCTCCTTGAGATATGGTCTGTGTAAGAAAATCTTTACTTTTCATCAAAAAACATTTTATGCCAGTTTTTATTAAGTGTTGAAAAAAATATGAGTTTTCCTTTCAAAGATATAAACACATCACACATATATTGCACATTTTATAAAATTTTGTTTGAAGAAAAAAAATATCAAAATACTCACAGTGAATAAGCCATAACAGTTGTTTAGTTTCTCCATAGTTTTTGGCATTCCTTGGTGTGTTAATTTTACAAGAAAGCGCTCACTGAAAATAAATATAATGAGATCATTTGTTTGTTGAAGAATATGTTGAATTCAATGTTCAAATTTTATTTTGGAATTAAATCTATTCTTTGAAAAACATTAAAATTGTAAAGTGAAAATAAAAAATCTTTAGTTTTATTTTTAAAATGTTGTTGGTCTTGAAACAAAAACCTGTTTTTTTTCTGTTTACACATTTGAAAGTAATTTGTTATAAAATTCATTAGAGATTAGGTTTACAATTTGCATTAAAGATAAAAAGTCAACCTCTTCCATCTTTTGTTCTTTTATGTGTCATGACTTTTCAGGACATTAGTGATCATACATCTTCACAGTTTATTCTTTGTAGCTCTAAGCAATGTTTGTCATTTAATTATCCTTCTCCTCACTCCTTGTAGAGTGACCAGACATACCAGGGTAGTAAACAATAAAACCAGTTAACTTGACTTACATTTTGTACTATTAAGCAAATTTAACAGATTAAATATTAATATGTTAAAAATTCAATAACATAATAGTTTCATTTTTTATGCTTTTTTTTTCTCTGAAAAAAATATGAAATTAACATGTGAATCCTTTCCTAATTCAAATGAATGATCCCGTGATAAGCAAACAACAGTATTGGGCTGCTAGAATAGGATGGCAAAAATTAACTGGAAAAACTTAAGTAATGTGTACAGACACTACACTTATTCTAGACAGAGTGTCATGGATTGATACTTTGATCCTAGGCAAAGGGCCAGGGTGTGACAATTTGATCTGTGGTAAAGTGCATAGAAACTACATTGATCCTATACAGAGGGCTGGGGAGAGACACTTTGATCCTAAACAGAATGCACAGATACTATACTGATCCTAAGCAAAGAGCCAGGGAGAATCACACTTTGATCCTAGGTAGAGTGCACACATACTATACTGATTGTAGGCTGAATGTTGGGAAGTAACAATTTGATCCTATGCAGAGTGCACAGATACTATACTGATCCTAAACAGAGGGCCAGGGAGTAACACTTTGATCAGAGATAAAATGCAAAGATACTATACTGGTCATAGACAGTGACTTGGGCAGTAAAAAATTTAATACTCTGCAGAAGTGTACAGATACTACACTGATTCTATATAGAAATGTTGATTAATATGCATCTTTTATTTGTACTGCCCTTGTAATTAGTTAAACGCTAAAATAGTATTTCTTACATATTACTAAATTAGTTAAATACTGAACACTATTTCCTTTATATGAAATGCAAGCCAGTCAATCACTTATTTTGATAAACGTTCCTGGAAACACTAAACTAAATTTGGATATTATACACTAATAGTTTAAATATAACAGAACAAACAGTAGGTAATTGCAATGAAAAGTAACTAAAGTGAACATAAAGAAATCTTTGTCAAAAATTAATAATGCTTGACAATTTTTCATTTAACAAAAGTTCAATATTATATTAGACTGTCACTTTGGAGTGAAGATTCATATTTTTTGTCCAAAAACTTTTTTTAAAGTTTAAATTTTTGATTTCTAAGGCAAAATACAGTAATCATCATAACATTTGAGGCTTAAATAATTTGAATTTTGCTTCCCTTATATTAATGTCTTAATGCTATTGAAGAAGGTAAAGATTTCAATCTTTCTCTTCTTGTAACAGAATTATAGACACAAAGAATCACATAAAACTCACAAGATGTCAAGAAACGATTGTTGATTAGCCAACAATAATATATTACAGAAAAATAAAAAATAATGAAGCTATTCTCATGGTCAGTCACAAAAACACAAACCTGAAACTTCTTATACAAACCATACAAAGGTATCATTTTTTTCTTTGCCAACACTTGTATGTAAGCATGCAGTCATTTTTAATCCAATATTTAATGTTATGAAAGAAATATAGGTGAGTGAGAGAATCCTGTAAACTATATTTTTTATTTTTATTATTCTAAACACATACATGGAAGATCTTTGAATTTGTAGACTTGGTTATTTTTGATGAATAAGAAACAGATTGAATCTCAGTAATAGATTTTTTCAAATGAACTCAGGATTTTAATATTTTCTTTTCTTCTAAAAAAAAAAAAATTAATCACTTAAAGATATTTTCTTTCAAATATGCTATATCTTCTACCCATGATACTAGTGTCTTTAATGAGCATTCTAACCATTTGTCTGTTTCTACAACAGCAGGATTGCTGCTATTTGCTGTTGCTATTATTTTTCCTCTAAGATTACCCAATCTTCTACCCCCACAAATATACATGCAGATTTCATATTGTGAGTATTCAAAAGTGACTTAGCAAAGAGACATTTTAGTTGAAGATAGGTTTTTTTTCATCCCAACAATCACTTCTAGTTCTTTATTTTCCAAGAATTGCCCATTCATATTTTCCTTTTCACATTTATCTGACTTTTATTTTTTTTTCTGAAATGTCTTTTGGGTGACTGGAAGGATCAGTGAAAAGTTTCAAGTTCATAGACAAGAATGGACAAAGTTAGGAACAAGAAGAATATTAAAATATGTATCATATTTATATATACCTGATAAATTTGGAATCTTTGGCATCATAAATGGAAAAGTAAAGCTCAAGATCTTCATTGACAGAACAAGGAAAACTCTTGAAATTTACCAGCAGATTGGTTATAGAAAGAGACTTGAATTCATTGCTCAGATGATCGCTGCCATGAACCTAAAATGATGAGAAAAAATATTAACCAATTCTTTAAACTACAACATAAGATTATAAGAATCAGTCAAACAAAACTTCAATGTTTATGTAGAGCTTCAAAAAAAAAATAAAAAAAATGTATAAACTTGATATGGAATTTAATCCTTTTTGGGGATTAAAAATAATTCATAACATGAAACCTACTATATAAAAATTCAATTAACCATGCTGGGTTTTTTAGTCAATAAAATTCTTTTTATTCTGATTACAAGAATTTACTTGTAATCATGTTTTTTTTTTTATTATCTATAAATTGTATGCTTTGATAAGTCAAAACAATGCTGCATGCAACTTCCATCTGAAGAAAGATGAAAAATACATCATTCAAAACATAGTAAAAACAACAAATATAGGGATAATGACTTGGATGTTTACCAAGGTTCAATGAGGAGAACATAACAAAGCAGGTTAAAAATGACCAAAAATCATATAGGTTAATTTAATTGATGAAAACCAAATACTTGAGCTTATGTTTTTAAGGTCAAAAATTTAGCAAAGCAGGATTTTTTTTGTATTTGAAATAATGGACAAAAATGAACACAGGAGTCAAATGTCTTATGAAGAATCAGGCTATGAGGATTCCCTTAATATGTCTAGCATAGAAACAAATAGGATATGGGAAAAACTAATAAATAAAGAAAGCAAAGTAACAACGGGATTTCAAAAGCAACTGCAGTAAAAATTGAAGTCTCAGCAAGTGCAATCAAGTATGATAAGTATCACTTATCAGCAGGCAGGTTAATTTTAAGGTTCAAAATTCTCCACTCAGATTTGGGACAATAATCTCATGGATTAAAGTGCTGGTCATGAATTTGATGACATAAGTAATTGCAATTTCAATCCCTGGTCCGAGTAGTGTGTACTTTGTGAAAACAAGGTGAGCAATAACTGAGCATTACTAAATGAGAACTAGAAGAGATATCCCTGGATATGGAGAATGAGATCAATCTATCCCTGTAGATTAAATAAAGAATTTAGTTCAAAATTCCCTAAAGTTTATCCAGATTGACAATCACCTGATGAAGGCAAGAGAACACAATGTGATAACAACAACAAAGATGGAGACAATAGTCTGCATGTAAATAATGATAGCTCAGAAATTCAGACTGAAGCAAAGCAGGAATATTTGCAAAATAAAAACGTGATTTGATATTTGTCAAATGAAATTTAACAGCAAAATAAAAAGGTTGACTATTTTCCGACTTTTTTTTTGCTTTTAGCAAATCTCAAGAATTGTTTTTTGTTTTAATGTCTTTAATATTAAAATTTTACTAAAATTTAAATGTCATTTTATTCTGTATGAATTTCTTGGATGTGGAATTATTATTTACACATGGACTATTGTTTAGAATTTTGAAGCCTCCTTCTTTGACAGAATAAAAGGATTATTTACATGCAGACTATTATCCTCATCTTTACTGCTGTCATTACAGCATTTTGCTAATTGTAACCTTCAGTTTTTATCAGGTTTTTGTCAACAAATACCAGATTAATGCCAGAGGACACAACAGCCAAAACATTGTGATAATAACAACAAAGATGTAGATAATAGTATGCATGTAAATAATATAAATAATCCTTTTATTTTGTCAAAGAGGGAGGTTTCAAAATTTTAAAGTAGATTTTGCAGTTACAAATACAAAATCCTTATAGACTTTTTTTGGTTTTAGCCAAAATTTATTCAAACAATTTATCAGGTTTTTAAATTTCAAGAAATAAAATAATTGAAAAATACAATTTCAATCAAGTTGAAACATTTCATATTAAATCCATTTTTAATACAGACAACCACTTTTAAAATTCAAGATAACTTAAATAAGGCAACAATTTGTTTTATATTACACTTCATGCTTCATAGAATTTAGAACCTGAAATAATAGTCAACTAATATTTCTACATTCCTTAAATTCAGTTTTATATTCTCAAATTTTGAATATTACTTTACTGAAATGTCATATGCCCCTTTTTTCATCTTTTGTTAAAGCTTTTCTATTCAACAGCAAGCAAAAAAGTTTTCTAACAATTCATTTAGTGTTGTTCAATTACTTAAAATTTTGTCATTTATATAAGATTATAAAATATAAACTTGATTCAGATTGAAATTACAGCTATCATTGAGCAAGAAGAGAAAAAAAAACAATTTTGTTCTGCTACCCATACTAAATTAAACCAAGCATGACAATTCCAAATCTATACTCAGAATTGTCTTTCAATGACAGATTTTTAAGATATGTGCATAACATATTTATATTAAAGATAAATATTATAGTAATAGCATATTTGTTGTATATAGTATGAAAGCAGCTCCAAAGTAATTTCTCTTAATTTATTTTGTTGGCACACAATATCAGAGCAGTGGTATGACAATAAGAGTTGAACTTTATTGGTTATAGCCTGTCATTTTTTTTTTACCTTGCAACACAAAAATATTAGTTTGAAGATCATAGATCATGTGGCAAATTTTGGTTGGACTTTTTCTGCTATACCCAGCATATAATCTGGATTTGAGGCCTCCTGAGTTTCAGCTGTCTAGTCTGATGAAAGGCAGATTATGCAGACAACATTTATCTGATAGTGACACCAGTATCACCTACACAAAAATGTGAGTCATTGGTTCAGACATTTTATGATCTTGGTATGCAAGCTCTTGTTTCTCTCTGGTGAAAATGAAAAGTCAATGGTGGTCACTCTATTGGGAAATAGTGTTTTCAAGGTGAAAACTACTTATTGTGCTCCATGTATTATTGGCTGAAGTTTCCATGGAAATAAATAAGCAGCATTACTTTCAGAGCATTCTTCATATTCATGTACATAGGAAAATAGTCTATTAATAGTATATATATATATATATATTTCAAAGACAATCTAGAATATGATTGGAAATAACTGAATATATTCACTTTATTTCAGATATCTTCTAAAAATGCCTGAGACACTTACTATTGTATGTCTTTCATTTTAGTAATCAACAGTAATCACTAATGTTTGGCTTGAATCAGCCATAATACCTCAATTCGAGCTCAGATATACTCTGATGCAACCTCTCACCATATAGTACCCAGTTCAATTGAAAAACAAATTGAGATGAAAGTGTAAAAAGTGCATTTTAAGAGACATTTGGTATTCATTCCTTTGATATGCTATCAGTATCATTTTCAGCTCTTTGATAGCCAAGAAAGTTCTATACAACTAGAATAAATTGCAACTCAAATGGATACTAAAATAATGTTAAAAATTTACCTTGAGCATAAATGTGATATAGATGTATCCCCAAAATATGATATCATAGGACAATTCCGAATACTAACCCGGAATTATTTGTACTGTGTATAATATGGTACAGTAGCATGTGTCTGAGTAGGAGGCAAAAAGTTTTTTTGTTGCTCACTGTAATATAAAATGAGGTCTCTCTCTCTAATCATGTGCAGAATACAAATTTCTAATGTTCTAGAATCATTTTGAATATGAATTCAGAATTTAGTCCAAAATTCATACTTTAAACGAGTATCAAAATCTGTTACCAAGTGTATTCAAGTCCCATATTTGGCACAAAATATTTTAAATATTTTTTATTGATAATAATTTATATTAATAAAGTATGACTATCAGCCATTTTGATGAGTGAATTTAGTTGCTTCTACAAAATGCATTTTCATCTTAGAAAATCAACAAAAATAAATTGTCAAGTAAAAACAATTGAAATTGTTAAACAATCATAAATGCTGAAAAAAAAAAAAAAAAAAAAGTTTTATTTCTCTCTTAAAATCCAGAACATTTTCTGTCGGCCACATACCTTTCTGCGGACCATATAATTTTCACTGTCTTTGTGAATTCGATACAGTTGGACAATGCTGATTTTGTCAGCATCCACCTGTTCTCCATTCAATCTTGGAACCAAATCCAATGACAAATTCCTAAAAATTAAAATTATTTTCTCTTTATTGATGAACTATTTTTTTTTAAATCATCTTTTCATAGATTAGACAAGTCCTTATTTTCATTCAGCTGCAAATTGTTGATCAAGAAAAAGAAAGAAAGAAAACTAAAGTAATGTTCACCATTTTTCTCTCTTTTTACTTTGTGATTATTTTAATAAATTTTGTTCTTCAAACAAGTTTATAGCAAAAAAATAAAATAAAATAAAAAGAGTGCAGAAGTTAAAAAATTTACAATAGTGATTTTGTTTTTTAGATGCAGAGGTGTAATGGTACTTTTGTGTGGGACCACTGGAAATAATTGAGACATTCTAAATGAGATGTAAAATTTATTAAATGATTTCTAGTAATGAATGACTGTTGCAGTCAGAAGAAGGATACAGAATGTATCAGTCAGATCAAGATCAGAAACATTAAAAGGTATTTGTCTAAATAACTTGTGGAGGAAATGATCAAGGTCATTTGTGACAGAATAAAATGCAGGGAGATTTTTCCATGACTTTCTGAAGGAGTTTTGTATGAAAGTGATATAAGGCAGGATTAAGCAGAATTTGAACTGTTAATTCAACTCCCAGAATTGAGAACGATAAGGCAACGTTAGACTTTTTTTATTTATTTTACAAATGCCCTTTTTTATATTTTCTTTGAAAAATCATTTGATTAAAACTTGATAACAATCTATACTTTTTATTGCAAGCCTGGGCAACCTTTTTCAAGTGGTGGCTTGCATGACATGAGGTAGCCCACACTACTAAAAAGATTCAATGTAATTTGTCATTGAAATCATTTCAGCCATTTTCAATACAGAAGATGATACATGTAGGCATTTTCTTAGAAACAGGGGAAAATCGATTTTTTTTTTTTTCTTTGGGGAAAGAATTTTTTTCTGTAATTAAAAAATTCAAATCTTGCTAATATTATCACTGATGAAAGTATGATTAACATATTGCTGCATGTGATCGTTTTCTAATTTATTCACTTCAAAATACAGAAGATAATTTTTTCTCCGGGGAAAAAATTATTATGAAAGTTACCCAGTTTCTAAAACGACATGTTTACACATATGATCTTCCTTACAATGGTTTAAAATGATGGAAATGTTACCGTCAATGAAAGTTTACAAAATTCAAGAAACATTGTATTCTAAACATTGTTTATGTGGTTGCATGTGAGTGAACAAGTGAGAATGAAACAAAACAAATAAAATTTTAATAAGCATTATTTTCCCCATGAAACTAAGGCATGCCATTCAGAAAGACAAACAGGCCACAAGTTTTTCTCATGACTGCTTTATTTCATGAGTCAGACATGAAGGGAGAACTTGATAAAAGGTAGTTAATAAAACCACAAAGAAATTTCAACATCCAAATGCAACACAGAATTAAAGCCAATTATGTTAAATCTCTACAGAAAAATCAAAAATTAATTATAATTAAAATGATTAACTATTAGTTTGGGGTTTACTCAAATCCAACAAAATTTATTTTCATGTTCATCAATTACTATGAAAATCTCATCCATTATGTGGATGACATGCATTGTTTAGAGAAGGGGAAAAATAGTGGAGTGCATAAGAATGTAAGTAAATACTTGGAAAACAAAAAAAGTTATTTCTTTTCACAACTTACTTGTTTCCCCAGTCGATTTTTTGGGCAATTTTCATTTTTAAGTCTTGTTTCTGGTCCTGTGTGTATGTATCTGCTAGCAATGTGCGTCGCATGGCAATCAAGTCTTGCATAATGCTGTGAAGTTCCTTCCATATTTCTTTCTGATT